TGAAAACAGTGTCTCAAAGATGTATCAGCACTCCCATGTTCACAGGAACATTATTCACAATAGCCAAGATATGAAAACAAACCTAAACGTCAGTTAATGGATGAATGAATAAAGAAAACATGGTGTATGTGTATGTGTATATATACACACAAACACATATATACATATAATGAAATAGTATTCAGTCTTTATAAGGAAGGAAATTCTGCCATTTGAGACAACACAGATAAACCTAGAGGACATCATGCCAAGTGAATGAGCCAGAAACAGAAAAATAAATATTATATAATCATATTATCTCATTATACATTGAATTAAAAAAAAAAGTAGTAGTAGTCAAACTCATAGAAACAGAGAATAGAAGAGTGGTTCACCAGGGGCTGTAGGGAGACAATCACAGGAGTTTTTTGTTTTTTTTAAATGGATACGGATCTTCCATTTTGCAAGATGAAAAGAATCTGGAGATGGATGGTGGTGATGGTTAGGTAATTTTATGAATGTATTCAAAACCACTGAATTACACACTTAGAAATGGTTAACATGGTCACTTTTATGTTATTTGTATTTGACCACAAAAAATATCAAGGGGAAAGAAAGAAAAAAATAGTATCTTGCCTGGATTACTGCTATAGCAGTCAAACTAGTCTCCTTGCTTCCATCCTTCTTCTTTTAAGTCTCCTCTCCACAGAGCGGCCAAGATGAAAATCATGAGTTTATGTCACTCCTCCAATAACTTTCTACCTCAATGGTAATAAAAACCTTTATTATGACTTATAAGGCCCTATGTGATCCGGCCCATTACTATGTCTCCAGCAATGTGCCCCTAACCCATGCCTTTCCTTGAATACTCCAAATATTCCCACGACTCAGGAATTTTGGATTATCTCTGTTTTGTCCTCATGTGTTTATCTTCCCAAAGGCACCCATACCTCTTTCCAGTCTTTACTCAATATTTACTTTCTTAGTGAATCCTCTGACTACATATTGAAATTTTAACATTTTTCCACCATCTGCATATTCCACCATCCTTTTATGTTTTTACTTTTAGCATTTACTATTGTACTTCCTACTATATTTACTTACTACATATTACTTTCATTTTACTTGAAATGTTATTCTACTTACACAGTTTATCTTGCTCACATTATGACTCACCCATGAGCACATGCCCTCCATCAAGGCAGGAGTTATTTTGTATATTTGTTTAATTATGTGTCATTTGGTCCTATAGTAATACCTGCTACATAGGTGATTAATACATAGGTGTAAAATTATAACATGAATGAATACTATTCGACATGTGAGAATAATAATAGAGAAAATTCAGTGGCAGTATAATTAACATGAATCTGGTGTTAGATAAATCTGAACTTGAATCCAGGCCCTGCCACTTATTGGTTAGGTCTTGAAATTTGGATTAATCTGGCCAATTTGAAAAGGAGATATAAGTCATTCTAGACTGAGAGAACCATAAAAGCTAAGACACAAAATTGCTTCACACTATGCAGGAGAAAAAGTGATTTAATTTGGTTGGAGTAAAGAAAACATAAAATAGATTAGTGTGAAACAAGCATGAAAATATAAATTGTTAATAGATCATGGAACTTATTGATGAAATTTAGGAGAATGGAATTGTCACAAAGGCAAAAGGAAGTGAAGAAAGTTTTGTGAATGGTATCATTAAAGCTGTTAATAAGAAAATCTAATCTGATTTAGACGGGACTAAGCTAAAAAGAGTGATATTGATTGCAAAGCTATTTCTGTAATCTAGCAGACATGCAGTGAGCCTGAATCAGAGGGCACTTATACCGAGGGGACATAACTTAATAAAGAAATATATGAAGAAAGAATTGACAATACATGTCTCCTTACTGAATATCCGATCACTACACACAAGAGAGTATGTCACATATTTAAGTCTCAAGAACTGCCGAATAACATCTTCATTTACATAACCAAAAGGACAACAAAGAGGTCTGTGAGCAATGAAACAAGGTCCACTTCAGGATATCAGAGTTTTGAGAAATCAGTGGACATCAAGATATAGATACATATCAAAGAGTTGGAAATGAGGCTGTAAATCAAGAGAGACCGGAAGTAGTGAAAACATAGATACAATGATCATGGGGGCAGACAGCTTCAAATCAAGAGACTAAATCATACTGACAAGAGACAACGTATACAAAAAAGAAGGTCAGAGGATCTCACACCAGACACTTATACTAAGGGAGCTGAAAGAGGAGTAAAAGCCACATAAGGAAAGAGACACAGGACAGTTAGAGATGGAGAAGAAGCTGTTAAGTCTAGAGGTGAGAAAAAGACACTGGATTGGGTGATGAAGTATAATTATTTGTCGAATAAACAAATGAATATATAAAGCATAGACTACAAAAAATGATCAGTGAAAGAGTCATAAAATAGTACATTAACAAGATAAAATGGAGTGGTGTGACTGGAGAGAGGAGGTGTATACCTACAGGAGTTTTGGCTAGTGTGAGGTGCCTGGAGAAAGAGAAATGGAAAGCGAAAAAAGATATTGGGGACTTTGGATATTAGATTAGGAGTAGAATGAGAGGTATGATCAAAACATAAAAATAGAAATTCAGTGTAACTATAAAAACGATGTCCTCCACGCAAGAGTGAGTGGTAGCTAAGTGATACAATGAAGGAAAAGTTGGGGTTCACATCAGATCCTATTTCTTCTTGGTAAATTATGAGAAAAACTGATTTATAGGCAGAAATCCTGAGACAGGTACGACTGCTTCACCTAAATACATTCACAAACTGCTATAATAACTATAAATCAGATTTTCTAAGTTGGGACAGAAGGGGATAATTAATGTTTCTAAGATATTGGAAACTTTTAAGATAATTTAGGCACTTTATGTTTCCCACAGAGAACAGTCACCACATGGCTCTCTCTCCTGTTCCAGAAAACTTAATCCTTATAGACCACCAGGTAAACACTTGAACGAAACCCTCTGATGGAATCCAATCTTGCCTGTCATTTGAAGTGGATCAGATACAACCTGTAGGGGGCAGTACAGGCTCAGCCCCTCTGAGAAATTCTTCAGAAAAATTTTCTCAGTAAATAAGACAAAAACTTCTCAAACCTAAGTACATGTAGCACCATTTTCTGCTGTGGTTCCTTTAAAAATAGGCAGAATATATCATTCCTCAACTGATTCATGTTTCTTCTTTTCTAAAGGATAACAATAGGTTTATTTCAGTGGCTTCTGTTAAAAGAGGTAAGTGAACTGTTGAATATTTTATGATATATTACATATTTTGTAATATTTAGACAAAGGGAGAGTGAACAAATACCATCTAGAAAAATTAAGTCCATTTATAATTATTTCATTAAGGAGTCATACCTGAGCAATGCCTTAATAAGATGGTAATGAGGTAAAAATGTGCTGTCAGAGTAAGCACTGGAGAAAATCTTCTGGAAAAGGCAGCCCAATAACCTGAAAATAAGGGGGAAAATACTTCCCTCTTTGTCTTGCCTTACATGTCTTTATTTTAGGAGGAACGACACCTATTTTTTAAGGCTTGGAATTTTCTTTTGGAGTATGGTGATTAAAAAAATAAAAAAAGCCTAAGGAGTCAGGTAGAGTCAGGAGGGTGCAAGAAGAGAAGAAAGGAAAAGGTGGATGTACTTCAAATGGAGATAAAAAAAATAGTACCTCTCAACTCAGAGGGTCATTATAAGGATTTTGCTAGTTTATATGATGTATACACATAGCATATAGTTAACACTCAGTAATGTGTGGCAGAATTCTTTTTATTTACTGATAATGAAGAAACTGATGAAGTTATTTTGTTCAAGAATATACAATTGACCTTTGTGAAAATGTGGATGGGAATCTAATTGAAGATGAGGCTGAGTCACATAAACACTCTCACTCATCTCCTTTGTTCAACTTGGCAAGAAAACCAGCCAAGGATAAAGGGCAATGGGATGCCCTGAAATATGTTCCCTTGGGGAAATCTTTCAGTGTTAAAAAACTTTCAACCTCACGCATCAATTAACTGCTCCAAATAAATCACAAATTAAATACAACCACTATCTTAACAGAACTGATGAGTCTCCAAAAAGGTACGCTTTTCTCCAATGAGATCAAGACAATAATTTCTAAATCCCCATTCACAGTGCTGTATTTACAAAAGTCACTTCTGCAAGAACTTTTCAAATTGTTCTTCTAAGCAAAATATATGATATTTTCTTTTAAAAGGAAGTTTTGGCAAATCCAGTAATTCTAGCACACTTCATTTCCATGTTCTAACATGTAGAGGCTAGAGCTTCCTATATTTTTTGGTTTTCTACAGAATTGCAATAATGAAGGAAAACTCCACTGAGAAGACTTTTCACATGGAAAATATTGAATGGTGCATAGAATCTGACTTGGTTTGAGTGTGACATTCTTGTATAAATACTACAGAGCCTGCTATCAAGTTTAAATTAGCCAAATTAAAATATATGAAGAAGCTTGCAGCTATATTTTTCTTAAATAGAATACAAATACATATATATAGAGAGTGAATATATAATAAGGGTGTCTACATAGAGAATACATTTCCCTTAGGAATCAGATATCTAGAAAAATCTACCCAAGTAATGTGACTAGCAAATTATATGCATTTTCTCATTCTAATAAATGAGCTCTTTTTAATGAGATTTATGTTTTGGTATAACCATTGTAACCTTCATAAAAGCTAAACTTACAGGTAATTATATAATGAGAGTACAAATCACTATTTTGAGAATCGTCAGTCATGAAGAATCAACATATGGTTAAACCTAGAGAGTTCTCAACAGCAAAAACAGCATCATGTCAAATATCTAATACAACTGAGAACCATGAAATGGCTCTGGATGAAGAAGGGGGAAAGAAAAAAAAAGGCAGAGCAAAATTCAAACAGACACAAAAAACCATGTTGGGTTATCTTGGATGAAGAAGTTCTTTGGTTTGGAGAACAGAGAGTAAATGTTGACAGACCTGTGAAGGAAATGGGCTCCGTGTGGGGTCAGAGGTGGAGACATAAGCAGCCTGTGTGTAGGCATAGCTCTTGAAGCGAGGCTGAGGAGAGGAAGGAGCTCGTTCATAGCCCTGTGCTAGACTGACAGTGATCTGCAGAAGGGTTTGGGGAAGGAGGACAGAGAGGAGGAGGAGACAACATAAGTAACCCTGAAAGGAACTGCTTTCCAACACACTAGAAAAACAAATATCAAACGGAAACAGTGAGCTGAAAAGTGCAATCCTAAACATGTGTAAGTGATATTCGAAGCGTACGCTCCAAGCACTGCGGTGTGTTCAATGTCGTGTCGTAAAGCAGGGAGTCAGGGAGAGAGCAGGATAGGGTTTCATCATAAAGAGTCCATACGGACACACCTCCAGCACCAATACAGGATGCGTCCCTGCCATCTGGCGAAAACATGCATCCCGAAGCAATTTCCTCTGAACCCAAAGTAAACAAAACCAGAATTCATCATGTCAATACCCTGGAAAGGACTGGAGCTTTCATGAGCTAAATATAGAATTAGCTCAGTAGAGTGAGAAAATGAGGCCTGAGAGCTTTCCACGCCTTCAGCAGAAATTTCACTAATGGCTTTTTCATCGTTGTGTCAAATAATGAAAAAACAACAACAACAGAACAAAACACCCTACATATGCTTCTTGGGAAGAAGAACAAGACATGTAATAGAAGAATCCCACTGGATTCTATACAATAATATCATAGAAGTCTTTACCATATGTATTCTCATTTAAATTTTACTTAAATTATTTTAAACTAATTTCATCTTACCAAAAATGTTACTTTGAATATTCAAAATTTGTTAATACATCAGCAAGTTGCCGCTAAAAGTAAGAAAATATTATTAAACAGAATATTTGCCTTTGCTCTTGGTCTGGTTCCCTGCTTTGTGCTCTAGCTGATGGAAAGTCTAATATGTATATAACTCTATCTTTAATCTTATGTCATTTTACACAATGGAAATACAATCTATTCTGTGTACCAAATTCATATAAATGGTGCTTACCAATAGCAGAGCATTTTAAAAATGTGTCTTGAAAACAACATTATAGTTCATGAATCAGGTAAAATTTAAGTTCATAGAGTCCTCTCTCTCATTGTCTCTCTCCAAAGACACACATACATACATACACACTCTAAGCTAAGCTGTATATATACTTTTGCACATATATGCATGTGTGAATATATATACATATACACACACACTATGCTACATATATATATATATGTATCTATCCATAGATAATATAGATATGTGTGTATGATAACTAAAAATCCATATAAAACAGGAGATATCATGGGTATTAGCTATCTCTTCCATCTTTTACCTGTTGAGAGTAGTGCATTTGATGATGTAGTTGAAAATGTTCTTCCCTTGTAACTTTTGATGTCCTTGGCAACATTTCCACCTCCTGGATGGCTTCGAGGCTCACTTGTTGAGGCAAAACTTGGAAGAGAGATGTGACGTACATTAAGATGGACTTCTTATCTGGATAAGTGGTGGCAACATCTGTAAGCACATTAACACCACATATCAATTTTGAGTTTCTATGTCTGAGTCTCTAAAACGGGATGAACAAATCAATGTTACAGGAAGAAGATGGATTAATGAGCACTTGATTGTCCATGAATGTCCTCCAGAGACTAATTAGAACATGATAATCAGGCTTAAAATGTACTTCCAATTTGGCAGACCAATGAGATGCACACTAAAGTTAATTTCTTTTCCTTGTTCACATAAAAACTTCATTCCGCAATACTTTTTTAAAGTCAAATTGCTAAACCAGCCCATCTGAGAGAGTGGTTTTCATTAGATAAGAAACAAAAATAAAACACTGCGTCTTCCTTACCATGGAAAGTTATAACAGCATGTCAATTAAAATGGTGCACTGGTAATTAAACAATTACACCAAAGAGCTTAATGCTCTGGCTTCCAGTAAAGAAAGCTCGTACCTCCTAATCAAATTTTTGCTGGTGATTAAGCATGTAAAGAGCAAAATAATGTCTCTGTGTTGAAATGAGCCATGTATTTCTACAATCAAAATAAAATAAAACAACTATATACCATATGCACAATGATTTATAATATTCCTTAAGTATATTAAAAATATTTGTTTACATTATGGTACATCTGTTAAAGTCAGATGTTGCTTTCCTTCTCAGATGTTAGAGATAAATTTAAAAGTCCTTCACATAAAGTTGATCTGACATTATGTCCTTTGCCACATCTAGGGAATGAAAGAAACCCAGTGTTTAAAGTCAATAATAATTCATAATAACACATACAATAAGTGGCAGCTACTTCAAAAGCTTCTTTTGCTTCTTGGCATTACAATTTACCCACTGTGCTCATTCCAGGGAACCAAAATGTAAAAATAATCCTTTATGTGAAGTGTATCATTAATCCCAGAAGTGTTAAAACATAAATCCTGGCAGGAGGCCAAGACAACTTAGCAGCAATGTGCCAGGCATTTCTCTTGCCATAAATTTATCCTAGCTCAGCTAGCATGAAAAGATCTGTTTTAAGTTAAATATGTATATTCTGATCAGGTGTTCTGATTATAAGTTAAAAAGCCAAAAGTCAAATTTCAAGTCCAAAAGCATAAAAGGAGGTTGAGCAGGTCACTCAGTCAAATTCCTCCACTAGTTACAGGAACATGATTAACCAGAACGACTATTTTTAAAGTATTTTTCAAAAGAGTTAAGGAGGAGGGAAAAGCTAGCTAATGTTTCTTGGTCTGCTTCTATCCATAGTATAACACAGTGCTTTTTAATTTTTAATGTGCATATGAATCACCTGGGGATCTTTTTAAAACTCAGATTCGGTAGGGCACAGGGGGAGCCTGAGGCCCTGCATTTCCAACAAGCTCCTAGGTGATGCTGAAGCTGTTGGCTTGAAGGCCATACTTAGAATAACAAGGGTCATAAAAAATGACACAGAAACACACTCTTGTATTATCTTCTGCATCATTGTTTTGCTTACTTGTTTTCAGAAGATACTTATTGGACACTTAAATGCATCAGGCTTCCCTGGTGGCTTAGATGGTAAAGAATCTACTTATAAGGCAGGAGATCAGGGTTCAATCCATAGGTTGGCAGGTTCCCCTGGAGAAAGAAATGGCAACCCACTCCAATATTCTTGCCTGGAGAATTCCATGGACAGAGGAGCCTGGTGGGCCATAGTCCATGGGGTTGCAAAGAGTCGGATGTGATAAAGTGACTAACACTTCAGAAGTACAAAGCTATAAAATACATGGTCTCTGCTCCCTATTATAATTTATTATAATTTAATTATTAGCCAATGGATGGTGAAGATAATTTTTCTGCAAATATTTTTAGGAAAGAACTAGAGAATACTGTGTGTATAAGTTCTGCCTTTTTTTTTTTTTTTTTTTAAATTAGTAGCTTAGCTTTGAAATTCTACAATCTCCCTTTCATTTCATAATTGTTTTTCAAGTGTTCATTGTATGGTAGATATTATACTTTATACCATATGTTTCTGAAACTCTAGAATGTTTTCTCCCTTCTCACTAGTAACTAGTCAAGTTTATCTTTAATGAGCAAAATTTAGAATTCAGTTTATTTTTTAGTGCATTAAATAAAACCATGCTGTGAGAAAGGCACTGAATTTTAAAAGACTGTCTATGTAAATAAAAAGGTCCATGTCTATTTACTGCTATATTAGACATGTGAATGTGTATAACTGGCCTCAAATACACACTGTGATCACAAGAAATAAAGGTAAAAATAGATCAAGCATTATTTCTACTGCTCCAAGCAAATGTCAAAAATTGCAGCACATGTTATCTACATAATACATCTTTTGGATGAATGTGAATATTCATAAATATTACTTACTACAATCAGAATTTGACCAAACTATTGATGTTTTTACCCCAATCTATTACCATCCTACCTCTGAAGCTATCCAGGATTCAGTTGCACCAGTAGCTAGAACTCAGTATTTCTTTTTTTTATAGAAAGGGATTCAGATATTCTAAAATCGGTTGAATTCCTTCCAAATATATGTACTAAAGATGTATTATACTTTAAATATTTTAATAGATTATCCAGGAGGTTAGAATGCCTGAATGCTGCTTACAATTTGGAATAATAAAATAAGTAAGAAGAAAAGTATATTACAGTACAATGCTAAATAGAATTTAAAATGTGTTCCACTTACTGGCACAACCAGTGCTTTAATAAGTTCAGAAAAAGGAAGAAAGCATACCTTACTGGAAGATCAGATAATTCTTTATGAAAAGAAAACTGAAATAAATTTGTATAGGATTTAATTAGCTGGAAATGGAGCAACGTATTCCTCCATTGTAGAATGTACTCCTCCAGTGTAGAAAAGCATGAGCAAAAGTGTTGAAGTAGAAACAGATTGGGCTTCCCTGGTGGCTCAGTGGGTAAAGAATCCACCTGCAATGCAGGAGACACAGGAGACATGGGTTCGATCCCTGGGTTGGGGAGATCCCCTGGAGTAGTACATGGCAACCCACTCCAGTATTCTTGCCTGGAGAATCCGATGGACAGAGGAGCCTGGCAGGTCATCATCCAAAGGGTTGCAAAGAGTCAGACATGACTGTGTGACTGAGCACAGAGATACATTAGACAGGCTCCGGGAAGAGTGACTTTTGAGTGTCTTAGCCACATAATTGAGCTTAATAGGACAAAATGGGAAGCCTGCATGTAAAACCCTAAGAGATCATCAAGGCAAAGTAGTCACTTGGCCTTAGTTCAATAGGTTGAAGAGTGAGTAACTACTTTCGATCCAGATTGTGACATCACTGAATTTTTTGTAAAGTAAAACCATTAAGTACAAAATGGAAAGAAGGAGAAAAAAAAAAAAAAACACAAAAAAAGTAGTGTCAAGTAGAAGGCTGAGACCCAATCCAGACAGGAGGTGTTATGGAACTAAAATAGGCTGTGTTATGAAAACAAGGGAATGTGTGATAGAAATTCTAAGATCCAAAATAACTGTATTCAATTTCAATTCATTTACTCCACAGTCTTTGCAGATGCCTGTATACAAGATCCTGTCCTAAGCCTTGAGGGCACAAAGATTAATAAACTGAAAATGAAATGGAGGAGGAAACTGCTTGTTCTGTAGCTATAGCAACAAATAGCTACCAATACAAGTTTCAATCTTATTTAATCAATTAACAATTACCTGCCTACAGAGTCTTGATCATGCTTCCCCAGGCCAACCAACATCAACCTCTCCCTTCTGAGGGGCCAATCAGAAGTGTGCTTGCTCCAAAATGAACAAAATTGTGAACACAAACCAATTAACGGTGGTCTCACCTGAGCAACCAATCATGCTTCTAAGAGTGTCCTCAACCTAATCCCTAGTCTGAATGTCCACAATCTCCTGATCTCTGGGGTTCCCCTCAAATCTAAGGATTAAAAGAAAGTGAGAATGATGTGATGCAACTTTTTATTATTATTATTACAAGACATTAAAATGTATAAATTGAAAGTGGGTAAACCCCCAAAATAAGAACATAAAATTATATGAAAGCTATCTACAACTCTACTATATAATGGATTCATTGCCATAAATGCTTAAATTAATCATTTTTAATCCAATCTCTGAAGCCATTTCAGAATGGAAATGTTGAGCTCTTAATATGCCAGAAAATTATTTATGAACTGTAACTTTGATTCTGATGAGTATTTCTACAGTCATCAGAATTTTGATACTGAGGACTATAATGGAAAAAAATCACTTTGGGAAATTCTCTATTTTTCAAAGAAATTGAAGTCCACAGGGGTTTGATGGCAAGTTCAAAAGCTAGATCAAGTCCAAATTAGAACTCAGTCAGTGTATCATACTTTTCAGTACCTCACACCTTCATTTTTTTCAGAGAATGTGATCTCAGTGCATTTGAAAACTGAGACTCTCGAAGTCATTATCTAAATCATGACCTGGTGATCCATGTGGTTCCATTATCAAACATCATCTACACTCTCCATGGAATTAGTCATTTCTACTTCTAATAAGTGAGGTATAACAAGAGTAAATACACATTAAAAATGCAACTTCAGTGGCAATCAAAGAAATGCAAATTAAATAAACATGGAGGTGTTTAATTATACTCCACTGTCTATCAAATTATCAAAGAATGACAAAGGGTAACAATCAATCTGGCAGTAGCATCAGTGAAAAATATTTTGCTATGTCTAAAAACAATCATATTCAATGATCTAGTAATTTTCCTTTTAGGAATCCACCATAAGGAAATAATTAGATTTCTACATGAAGATTTATGTAAACAATGTGAAAGTTAAGCTCTATTTATAATTAGAAAAGATTTATCACACAAAAAAGAAAAGAAATGCAGACCATCTCAAATTGCTTAGTAGAAAATTAGAATTAGAAATGATCAAGTGCATAATACTTATGAATATCACAAAGCCATTCAAAATGCTGCTTTTGAAAAATATTTGATAATATGTGAAAATAAATTCTTAACAAGGTAATAGTGAAACAGAAGGAAGCAT